GCATAAGGGCTAAAGGTGCACTGAAGAGTGCTTAGCTTTATCTAAGCAGTTCAAAAAGTTTCCCTGGGGAATGTGCATTTGAGCTGGGAAATGAAAAGCATGTACGTTTGTAAGGTAAATTGTGCATGGTGACCGGTGTGTTGTGGGATAGGCAAAAGGAACAGCATGTGCAAAATCATGATGGTATAAGAGTATGGGGTGTTTAGATTATGATTAGGAGGGAAGTAGCTCAACACAACTTCAGCATAGGATGGAATTATGAGGGAGCTACAGATCATGAACCTGGAGGGATAACTTGGTAGTGATGTCATCTTCATTTATAGTGCCTAGCATATAGCAAGTGTTTCTTAACAGTAATATTTTGAGCATGTGTGTGTACAGATGCAGCCATGTGCTGCATTACAATGTTTTGTTCAATAACTTATTATATACACTATAGTGGTCCCATAAGATTATAATACTGCATTTTTACTGTACCTTTTCTGTATTTAGCTGTGTTTAGATACACAAACACCATTGTGTTAACAGTTGCCAACAGTATTTAGTACAGTAACATGCTGTACAGGTTTATAGCCTAGGAGCACAGACTATACCATATAGCCTAGGTGGGCAGTAGGCTATACCATCTAGGTTTGTGTAAGTATACCCTGTGATAGTCCCATAATGACAGAACCACCTATCAATGCATTTCTCAGAACATATCCCTGCATAAAGCAACTCATGACTGTAGGTAGGTAGGTAGGTAGGTAGATAGATAGATAGATAGATAGATAGATAGATAGATAGATCCATCTATCTGTCTATTGAGAGAGCGAGAGTGGGAGGGAAGATATGGGACAAAGAAAATGGAATTTCTAAATTGTTTTCATGTAGGGAGGCAAAGAGAGAGGGAAATTTGGGGTGACTTGTGGATATAATAGTCCTTGCAGTAAGGCCAAGATGGCATATCTGCAGGGGATTTCTACCTAACAGCTGATTCTTTATAACCAAGGAAGTTGTCCTAGTTCTCAGCCTAAAAAGATAATGATATAATATCTAGAGCGACTGACTTTTGGAGGATACATAAAACTCCAATTTTCTTCTAAATTCTTAGTTTCCTTTAGCAAAATCCCAGCCATGGTTATAATGGTAATCTCAGAGCTTTTTAGTTGCCTTATTGTCTATGAAATTGTTCATTTTACTTCACTCTCCATGTTTACAAGTAATTAGAGAAGCATGTTTAAGGTATGCTGGGGAATGTGTAAGTGACTAGGAGGCATTTTAGAAATGACCTAAAGAAACAGTTGGCATTATTGAGAAAAGGATCATGAAAGCATAGATAGTCTCACTAGCAAAATACTAACCTTACACCAAAGGAGATTTATGTGTATTAACCAAAAGTTCGTGAACTGGCCTTTTGTCAGTTTTCATATGTGCCAATGATTAACAGACGGTCAGAGTTCATTTTGGTTCTAATAAGCTACCAATGGAACTTTGAAAATTATGAATAAACTGACAAACTGTGGATCAACAAATACGTAGGATGTTAAGAAACTGTAAGAGTACTGTAATTGAGCAAAAGGTGATAAAAGAATAGGAGTCACTTTGAATAGGAAAAAATCTATAGTTTTAGTTCTCATACTAACAAAATTAACAATAATGGCTAACACAAAGGTCTAGCTCTGTGCAATCACATATTAACTCTTGATTTTTTTGAATGTGTGGTGAAAAAGAACTATAGCTTTTAGGATTTAAGAATAAAAAAAATAGTTGACAGAATTGAGGCCAGATGCAGCTGGGTGCAGTGGCTCATGCCTATAATCCCAGCCCTTTGGGAGGCTGAAGTGGGAGGATTACTTGAGCTCAAGAGTTCAAGACCAACCTGGGCAACATAGCAAGACCTCATTTCTACTAAAAATACAAAAATTAGTTGGGCATGCTAGCACACGCCTGTAGTGCCAGCTACTCAGGAGGCTGAGGCAGTAGGATAACTTAAGCCCAGGAGTTTGAGGTTATAGTGAGCTATGAATGCAACATTGTACTCCAGCCTGGGTGACACCGCAAGACCCTATCTTAAATAAATAAATAAATAAATAAATAAATAAATAAATAAAATTGAAATATGTGAAATTTGGACATTTGTCAATATGAGCATGAGCCTGAAAGGCTTGTTTGTACTTGTTGTATTGCACTCTGCAGTTAGAACTGAGATAACAAAGTCCAGATGGAACTGTGGCATAGGGCTACAAGATGGAACAGTGGCATAGGGACACAAATTTTCGGTACTTGGTTCAGTTCCCATGATCCAAGGTGCGGTCCTCAGAGTACACATTCAGAAACTCAATTTTGTAAGGTGAATATTATACTCAGAGGTGGTAAGTCTTCGGGAAAATGTATCATCTCAGCTAGACTCACCCAAGACTAAAGCATTTTTAACCTAAGTTCTGATTTATTAAATAACAATGGAGGCTATTCTTTTCCAAAATGTCACTAGATAAGAATAGAATCAAAATAAAGATAATTTGGAAAAATGTTTAGGCCAGTGGTTCTTAACTAGGGGCAATTTTGCAACCCTCCTGTCCCCCAACCCCTCCTTCCATGGACATTTGGCAATGTCTAGAGACGTTTTGGGTACCTAAGCTTGTTAGGGGTGATACCGGCATCTAGCTAGTGGAGGTCAGAGACGTTACTAAACATCCTACAATGCACAGGATAGGCCTCCACAACAAAGAATCATCTGGCCCCAAATGTCAATAGTGCCAAGGTTGAGAAACCCTGTTCCACTCTGTGGAAAAGCTACAAGGACACTTCTCAAGTAGCATATTTGATACCCAAGAGATTATATTACTTTGTACGTATGGTACCTTTTCTAGACTCTCCAAAACCATCTCTGCTATGGATTGAATGTTTGTGTCCCCCAGAATTCAAATATTGAACCCTAAATCCTTAATATGATGATATTTGGAGATGGAGACTTTGGGAGATAATTACACCATGATGGTGGAGTCCATGTGAATGGAACTGGTGGCCTTATAATAAGATGAAGGAACCAGAGCTCTCCTCACCCCACCCACCAAGTGAGACTACATCAAGAAGGTATTCCTCTGCAAATGAGGAAAAGGGCTCTCAGCAGGAACAGAATTCATCAGTACCTTGATCTTGGACGTCCCAGACTTTTAGAATGGTGAGGAATAAATTTCTGTTAAGCTGGAAGTGACTAAAACAATCTCTTTTCTTACAAGCTTCAAGTATATTTGACTTTTTCTCATTTTCATTGCATCCCTTTTATTGCCTCCTTAAGATTATATTCCTACTCATTTTAGTTCAAACCAAGAGTCCTAAATCCTCTCAGTCACACATTTACACATAATTTTTGGACTATTTCTTTGTGTACTTAATATTCATCCATTTTTACTGGTAGTGTCATTTTTTAAAATGTCAATCTTAATTTCTGATTTCAGCCTTCTTTGCTTCCATGTCCAAATAATAATAATAATTACATATATTCTTAATATTTTTAAGAAATCGACTTTTGTGGATCTATTAACATTTTATTTATGTTGGGTAAAATAAATTTTAGTTCTGATTATTCTCACACTGCATTAACACAAGAACCCTTTAGAAAAGAACTTCACACTTGCAGTTCTTTGGCTAGTCTGCACCTCACAGCAGCCCACTTATTAGGTGAATTTATCATTTAATTAATTATTTCTCTTTGTTCAAACATCAGTTATAAAGAACTTGTAAACTTAGGTATTCATTTATTCTGTTTCAGTTTTGAAACTGAAGAAAATCCCCTTTTCAATTATTTATATTTAAAAATAGTAAAAAGAAAGTTTAAAACAATTTACTTCAATGCTTTCTCAAAATAAAAACATTATTTTGACTGAAAACCTTATTTTCAGTCTGAGTTCCAATTGATCCACAGGTTCAGTCCACAGGTTAATGTAGTCCAAAGATCACTATAGCAAAATGGGCCTGAGCCACACAACAGATTCTGGCAGCTAATCTCCTGTGTGGCAGCTCATCCACACTTAAGTCAGCTCCCATAGCTACACAATTTGTGGAGCCCAATTCCAAACACAAATGTGGGGCCCCGGTTCAACACTTATTGAGAGAAAATGTAGTGTCCTTCTGTTCTGGGGGCCCGGGTAATAGCACAGGTTGCAGGCCCTTGAGGCCAGCCCCAGCTATCAGATTGTGCATTTACAATGTCAGTCTAACCGTTGCTGAAAAATACTTAGCTCTGTTGTAGTCAGATTTAATTTCTCAAGAGGCAAAGTACACTCAACAGTTTGCTTAAATCAGAGAGACCAAAAGGAAAGATTTGCTGTAAATTATCAACTAGCAAATCTTAGTTCAACTTAATTTTTATTGAGGGAAGTGAGGGGTAAACCGGAAACTGATGGAGCTCCCGCTGTGTGTCAGCCACTGTAGATTTCAAAGGATTCTTGTTTATCTCCAGCTACCAAGTAGGTGACTTGGATAGTCTTGGGACAGAGGAGTTGGGAGAGTTGAAATTTGGCCCTAGTTTCTACGTAAGTGACAACGGAAACTCTCTGCACGAGTCAAGTGAAGCTAGACCTCAAGTTTATTAATGCCTCGTGTTCTTGCTGCTGGCTCTGGGAAGAGTCTGAGCACGCACAGCAGACTGGTCCCAGACATGGTGACAGGGACTAATCTTAAACGCCCCCCTCGTTGGTCCTAGTAACCACAAAGAGCGGAAACGGGGGCGAAGACAGGAGTTGGAGGGGACGCCCACGCGGAGGCTGCCGGGAAGTGCAAAGTGCAAAGGCGGCGGGGCCGTGGGGACTGGACTGGAGAAGGGCGGGTTCTCAGAGTTAAAATTGAGAGTGAGCGGGACCGGAGGGGCGGGGCATCATGTGGGCGGGGCTGAGGCGAGGCCCCGGCGGCCATCTTGAGCCCCGCCTTTTACTTCGGGCCGCTTCTTCTGGTCGCTCCGCCGCGGGAGGTAAGACTGGGTCCGGGTAGAGGCCTGGACATTGTCAGCCCTCCTGCGGCTGCAGCTGCGGCGGCGGCACGGCTAGGCCTGATCGGGGCGGACGCTGAGGCCTGCGGTGCAGATATCCGCAGGCACGAGCGCAGAGACGGCGACCCTGGGCCCTGAGCGCCACCATCCATGACAGGAGGCCAGGGACCTTATCCCGTGACGCGAAGCCTTGCGCCTAATCCCTTTTTCTTCTCTGAGCCTCCAACCTAGTGTAACTCGGGGCGCTTGGGCGTGCCACATCCCGGGGGAAGCTCCCGTTTACCTACTGCCCGCTACGTTTGTACAGCTTTTTCCTGTTCACAAAGACTTCCCTAGATCTGCAGCCACCGCGCGAACATGTGAAGTAGATGTGTACGCATTTTAAGGAGGGAGCGGGCCTCAGCGCGTTCCTGCCGCCCACCGGCGCCTGGTTCAGGGGAATGTGGACCTGCTGCTCTAGGCAGCGTCCGCGTCGGGGCACGACCCAGTGGCGCGGTCAGGAGCACTCACCTCATGGTGCCGAGGGGAACCCGTGTCTTCGGAGTTTGGCGAAATCTGTTCGGGTAGTAAAATGCTCTCAGAGCGCTGTGGGGGACTGGAAGTCATTTCTGATGGGGTCATCAGGGAAATGGGATTGAGCGCACCTGGAAGGAGGGCATTCAGGTTGCAGGAAAAATAATAGCTCATGTTTGTGTGTGTGGTAGAAGCAGCGTTCTAAGCACTACGTGAATTAACTCATTCCCAGAGCAGCCCTATCAAATATGTATTACTGTATCCCCATTTTGCAGATGGGCAAATGAGGCATATAGATTAGCTTGTCCAGCGTCATGTAGTAATAAGTGGTGAAGTCAGACTTTGAACCTGGAGCGTCTGGCCCCAGAACCTGCTTTGAAACCATTGTACCGTGGCATTGAGTAAAGCCACGCGATAGCAACATCCAGGCCATCCCAGGATTATGCATAGTTGAGTTTAACTAACATAATAGGGAGTGAGACCAGAAAAATAATGTGGGACCAAATTATAGACCATATTTAGAGCCATTGGTGTTTGGCGTTTGTAGATGCCATATTATAGACCATATTTAGAGCCATTGGTGTTTGGCGTTTGTAGATGCCATATTTTAAAAAAAAATTTTTTCCCCAGAGTTTAATGGAAATCCTTACCTGGGCAAGCCATGTGAATTTTTATGAAGGAAAAGAGACCCAGCCTAGGCAACATGGCAAAACCTCCTCTACAAAAAATTACCCGGGCATGGTGGTGCCACCTGTGGTCCCAGCTACCCTGGAGGCAGAGGCAGGAGGATCACCTGAGCTCGGGGGCCGAGATGATTGCAGTGAGCTGAGATCAGGCCACTGCACTCCAATCTGGGCCACAGAGTTTGACCCTGTCTGGAAAAAAAAAAAAAAGACTATGCTTACACACAAGTGGAATGTGACTAAAGTTTATATGGAGTTTTATTCATTCTTACATTTTTTCAGTGATCCTGCATGGTTTTAATTTTGACATTTTAATGGCATTAAAGTTGAAGAAAAGTGTACAATTAACATGGTCTTCCATTTCGGTGACTTTCTGGTTCTCAGCTACTGGCCTAACAGCAGCCAGGGGGTGGTCAGGCAGTTCTCATCTGCTAATTATTGTGAGCTGGCGAACTGTGTTTTCACATATGACTAATGGATACTCAACACTACTGAAATACACACTTAGGAATGGTTAAGATAGTAAATTTTATGTATATGTTTTTATCACAGTTTTAAAAATACTAAATAAAAATGACTAACAATTCCATGTAGGCCATATTAGGCTGCAGATGAGCTGTTTGTAGGGATCTGTTGACCAGTAAATTAAGTGGATTAAAACCCTAGGCTTTCATGTAGGATTGATCCTAATGGGATGTATTCGAAAGAAAGGAAGAGGCTAAGTTTAATTTCTTATATATAATTAGGATGATGGCAGTGGGAATTCAAAAAGAAGGTAACTTTGAGGCATCTCCAATGTGGATTAGGCAAGATAGGCATGAGTCTGGAAAAGGGAGGCAATGAAAAGAATGGTTTGAAGGTGAGACGTAGAAGCTTAATTTTAGGCGTGATAAGTTTTAATAGCTGGTCACATGTCTTGGTAGAAAGGTCCAGCAAGAAATTTCGTTATGGGTACTAATGCTTGAGAAAGATTGGTTGCAGAGATGCAGATTTAGATTATTTCACCCAGAAAATGTAGTTGAAATTTAGGGAATGGGGTTTAGGGAAAGAGAGTGAAGAAAAGGGAGGTGGGAGGAGACAGTGAAAGGGAAGAAGCCAGATCCTGAGTTTTCACTTAGAAGAGGGTTTGAACAGCACAGTGGTGGTCAACAGCCAGTTATTGGAACTGTAGTTCGTTGGTTTTGGGAACACTTGTCTAGGATGTTAAGAGCCAGTGGACTAGGACACCCTGGAAATGAAGAAACATCGAAATCCAAGGAATCAGAGAATGGGAACGAAAAACACATGTAGAGATACATGGAAAACTTGAGACACAGGGAAGAAGGATAAAAATAGAACTCAGATTTCTGGAGGTGGATGACATTTAACTTCAATAAGTAAAGAGCCCTGTCTCTATCAGGAAAAAAAAAAAAAAAAAGTATTCCAGTGTGGTGTGCACCTGTAATCCTAGCTGCTCAGGAGACTGAGGTAGGAGATCACACTTGAAGCTTGGAGTTCTAGGTTACACTGAGTCATGATTATGCAACTGTACTACAACCTGGGCCACACAGCTAAGACCCTGTGTCCAAAAAATAAAAATGAAAAATAAAGGGAAGAACAATAAGGTTTGGCCTTTAGAGGAATGGACGTATTATGCACTAAGAGACCCTTTCTTCTCCAAAGAATGTTGATGTTCACTAACATTTGGGAAAAACTGTGTAACTCCCACTGGCACTGTGAAATTGTTTTTCTGTTTTCGTTGTTGTTTGTTATTTGGGGGGGGAAGGAGGAAGGGTGTTGTTTGGTTTTTTGGTATTCCACCCTACTCTGTCACCCTATTTCTCCCACAAAATCTGTTCTAGAACCTAAATATATATTTGTTCTAGAGCCTAAATGAAACCTATCAGACAAGTGACATGATATATACTATGTGAGTTTCCATGTAAATTTTTCTTACTGAATATCAGTCACTTAATCGTTCATAAGCCCAGTTTTCTTACACATCCTTTCCAGTCACCCTAGTAGTCCTTCAGTCCTCGTCTCTTCCCTCCTTTTTTATCCCCATGTTACAAGTTTGACTTACAACTAAGCCAGGTAGATCCATCTTCCTCTGCTTACCTAGCCCCAACTCTTATTTTCTTCACTCAGCAGTTGGCTACATCTCATCCTTCAAAATTACACTTGAAAACTTTGTTTACTGATTTAAATAGACAAAAAACTTTCATAGTACTTTTACTTCAACAGATGGTTTTGACCAAGTACCACCAAGCCTTATGGCAAAATAGGTATTAAGGTGGCCTGTGGCAAATAATTAGGTTATGGGAAATTAAGGTAATTAGATTAAGTGGTGATGTGGTATCCCATCAGGGTGTACAGTCACCTACCTCAAAAGAAGAAAATATCTATTGAGAATGTATGTGTATATATAAGCTCTGTATAACCTTTGCTGTGAAAAGTGTATCCCATTTGTAAACCATTGGTTCTTTTTTTCAGAATTGTTTACCATTTGGTACAAGCAAAAAGCAATCAGCAGTTGGACAGGTAAACTTGTTTTATTGTTTATATGTTACTCTGAACATTGAATGAAAATACCACTAATAGCTTGTTTTAAAACATGCTATTTTTCACTTAGAAAAATTCTATTGAAAAATATAACCACCCATTATAACATATCAGATATTATAGTATATCACAGTATTTCATATCTAATTCTTAGTTTAAGTCATATTTCTTTTTAAGCCTGACATATTTTTTTGATTTGTAATTAAAGGTAGTTTCTAAACTGGGTGAGTAGAAAAAAATACTTTAAAAGCTTTGTTTTTTAAAAAATATTCTACCAACTTTTAAAAAGTGTTTTAACCTTGTTTCTTCTGGCCAAATGAAAAGCATTTGGTTTTGAATTTTAAGAGCAGAGAAAACTGACAAGGTTTATTAAAATAGGCGAATAGCAAAGATATAGACTCCTATGTATCAGATACATGCTCAGTGTACCATCTTTTGCAAAGTGGATATAGTCCTTTCTAAGTTTAAGTAAATCTGGTTTCCTTGTGGAATAATGGAGCAAATAAATTTTATTTGTTAGTCTTATATGTGTGTATTAATATATTAAAATTCGTGTGTATCTCTGTAAGTTCATTATTTGAGATAGGATTGTTAACAGTAGCTAAAGTTAATTTTCAGTAGCATCTCATGGGAGTTTATTATTTAAGAATTAATCTTTTATAGATTAACAGCATAAAACTGAGCAAATGGTAATTTCTTTGTGTACAATTGTAGTATCATAATTCTATAGAATCAGTTATCCTACAGTGTCTTTAAAAAAAAAAAAGAGTATTTAAAGAACTTCTAGAGAGTCAGGACAGCATAGCGGTTAAGAGTAGGGCCTCTGATGTCAGACTTCCTGGGTTCAAATCCCAGTCTTCCAAATAAAACTATTTGGGTTTATTGAAGACATTAAAGATAAGATTGAAACTAATTTTTTAAAGTATTTTATAAAGACATTTCCCGAATTAGCTTTTTAAGATTATTGATATATATCTTTGAAAGTGTAATCCTAAAGCTCCAGCTGACTGGCATGTAGTAGTGCATTTCACTGAGAAGATCGCCAGAGTGGTAATACCTATTCCTGATATCTAAAGCTTTTTCTTCAATATGTAGGACTTACTGCCTTATATTCTAATACAGTGCTTCTAGGAATAGGAAGGGAATCTTTCTTTGAGAGGTACATGTCAGGATCAGTGTGGTTTCCCTTTGCTTAATAGGCATTTATGATAAAGATGAGTTTTCCAACTTTTTTCTTATATTTATCATTAAAAGCAATAAAATATGTCATTTTACATGTAAGTTTAAAATTATTTTTACATGAAAAATTTAAAAGATTTGTTGGACAGAAAAGAAGTTAACAGACTTATATATTACTGGTTTGTTTTAAAAGGAGAAATAAATGTTGATCTTAAAGTTTCATATCACTTTCTCTTAAAAATTCGTGGGATGAGTAATTGGATCTGGTTTACTATCTAGAAAAATGTGTATCACACCGTAAGTGTTCAGTAATGTTATATATTATTATTATCAAAATCATTATCACTTCATCTTTCTTCCATTTTAAAATCAACTATAATCAGTCATACCAATTCCTTGACTACTTTGTTGCAGTTGATAGGCAGACTGTTAACAATTTTTAACCTTCTAAACTAAGGTAATTAATTGGTAACTTAACTTATGTATTTTCTGCCTCTTTTAAAAAGAATTTGGGGCAGTCCACCACAACAAAAAAACTTGTTAATAAATTAGTAATGATACACCAAAGTATGAAAGCTTTTAAAAGTGAGTAACACGTGTAAATGCATGTATAAGAGTTAATCAGTTTCTTAATATTATTTACTGGAGAAAAATGTGAAAAAAATTCTAAGTAGAAAATAGTTGTATGTTCACATAATTTATCTGAAGGCAGTTAGTTTTATCTCAAGTTTTTCAGGAACTAATTCTCTGGAAATTAATGAGATTACTCTTTACTAATAGGAGAAGAATGGCATTGAAGCAGATTTCCAGCAACAAGTGCTTTGGGGGATTGCAGAAAGTTTTTGAACATGACAGGTAACTATTAAGAAGATATAATTTTAGATAACCTCTCATTCTGTTGGATTATTTTGTTCTATTTTAAAACAAATCTTTATCTGGATATCATAGTACCTCATTTTACTTTTAAACTTGTTTGCTCTCTTTCTGTGGTTATCAGTTTGACAATTTTACCAGACTTAATTAGCTGTGGATATGATTGTGTGAGGTAGAGCCTTAATAGAGAAGTATCTTCAAGCTTTGACTTGATGCTTTTCTGAAACTTTATGAAAATGTTTATGTTGCCAGTAAAAATTCTGAAAACATTTTCTTTGCGGATTTCTAAGTGTAGGAAAGATACCTGGACTTCTTGAGGAAGATGGCACACTAAACACATGCATTTGCTTCTGCTGCCTCCAAAACTCTGACTAACATGGCATTAAGTAAAGAGATGAAGCACTCACACATGCATACATATGCCTATAAAGGCATAAAGAAGCAGGAGACAGGAGCTAAGGATAACATTTTAGAAGCAGGAATACAAATGGAGAGGTAGTACCTGACAGTAAAACCTAGAAAGCTAAATTCTAAACATCAGCAAGAAAAAGCTTTGAAATGACACAATTTATATAAAGCCATAGTAATTGGAAGCACCAGGGACACCTGAAAATAAGGATACAAGTTGAGCTTAGAAAAAGGAAGATTAATTGAAAGTCTGTTTTTAAAAGGAGATAGATCTGAGAGTGTCCCAGTTTTATGCACTGCCTCTTCCTAACTCTGGAGAAAGATTGGAGGTATGTTCTCTAGAGACAGTAAACTGTTTGTATTGGGGAATATCAGACACAATTAGTGGGAGTTATGATACTGCAAATAGATTAAGTAAAAGTTTGCACACTGAGTTTCTTCCACTAGCTTTCAAAATTTGGGGAGTTAGTCTTATATCCTTTAGAAGAATTTCCTTGTGGGGAGTTTGAGTAGCCCAAAGGAAGAGATTTCAAGATACTGAGATTTGCCAACAAAGTAATCTAACCAGACCTTACAGTAAAGCAATGGTTGACAATTCCACTTGTAGGCACAGTGCTTTCAACTAGATTTTTAGTGTTTCACTCTTAAATAGCAGTGGGCAGCTAAAGATCACTAGACATTTGTATAAAGTCTTTAATTTGATATGAACTGTTCTTCATATAAAAGACATAAAAGATATTGGCCTCTGACTTTATAGGATGCTATTAAAAATATTCAAGTACATGACCAGGTGTGGTGGCTCATGCCTATAATCCCAACACTTTGGGAGGCCGAGGCAGGCAGATCACCTGAGGTCAGGAGTTCGAGACCAGCCTGGCCAACATGGTGAAACCCTGTCTCTACTAAAAAAAAAAAAAAAAACAACAAAAATTAGCAAGGCATGGTGATGCACACCTGTAATCCCAGCTACTCAGGAGGCTGAGGCAGGAGAATTACTTGAATCTGGGAGGCAAAGGTTGCAGTGAGCTGAGATGGCACCACTGCACTCCAGCCTGGGCGACAAGAGCGAACCTCTGTCTCAAAAATAAAATAAAATAAATAAATCCTCAAGTACAAAAAAGCCCAGACATTTAAATTTTGATAGTAGAAATGACAAAACTCAATAGAAGGGTTAGTTGAACATTCTAGAAAGTGAAATAAGATAAAAGCAATAAATCAGAAAGGACAAGAAAATTAGAGGACTAGTTCAAAAATCCAACATTAAAAATTAGGAATTTTGGAAAATAGAACAGAAATAGAGGTATAGATATAAATAATAAAGAAATAATTCAAGAATTCCCAGAACTGAAGTTGCCAGATTTTAAAAGTTGTCTAGTACAGTGGATGAAAATAGATCTACACCAACAACATTGTAAAGTTTTAAAGCGTTGGGAACAAAGAAAATTCTCAAACATTGAGATAAAGAGAAAGTAGATTAAGAATCTTCAAAGGTTTAGGTCAGCTCAACGGTATTACTAGAAGCAAGAAGGCAGAGCAGCAGTGCTTTCAGGATTCTGAAGGCTAACTTCTGTGTCCAATCATGTTGTCAGTTAAGTGAAAGTAGAATGAAGATGTTTTCATCTATGAAAGGTCTCAAAGTGTATTTCCCGTGCAATTTGGAAGCTACTGAATAATATGCTTCACCAAAATGAGGGACTAAAGCAAGATAGCTGAAGACATAAAATCCAAGAAAACAGATCAGAAGAGAAAGAATTTCCAGATGAGTGGGGCCATATTAAGGCAGCAGCTAGAAAGCAGCAGGTCAAAAGTTGGAGATATGGTAGCCAGCAATTACATGCAGCCATTTACATCAAATTAGCTAATTAATAAAACTTCAGTCCCACTAGCCACATTTCAGGTGCTCAGTAGTCACATGACTAGAAGCTGTTGTACTGGACAATACATAAATAGAACATTTTTATTAATATCACTGTAGAAAGTTCTGTTTGGCAGTACTGGTCTGAAGAGATATTTTTAATGTAGATGAAATTGATAGAACTGACTCTATTAGAGAGGAAATTTATGAAACCCATCAGGATTGGGGGAGTTTGGTATTGAATTAGTAATGCATATAGAGTGACCACACCAATCTCTGTGCATCAGATTGTATTCTTTTGGTAATTAAGCAGCATCTTAATGACATGATAGGGACAGAGGTTTCAGATTACTTGATAATCCTGTTTTTTGTTTTTTTTTCTTTTACATAAGTGTTAATCATACCACTGTTGAACATACTTTAGACCTGATTTATTCCACAACTGCTTGAGAAAGGTCTTCTTTTAAAAATGTTATTGTAATAACAACACTTAACATGAAATATACCCTCTTAACAAATTTTTAAGTGTGCAAGAAAGGTCGTAAGGCACCAACTATCCTGTAACAAGATTATGCTGTCTCTTGATTTTGCGTATTGATAACATCCCTGCTTTGAATATGGATTTGATATGGTAATCTATGAAAGTAAATGTTTCAACTTCCCTAACAAAAGTTGAAAACCTAAAAACAGCTGTCAGAATTTTTTTGTGCCATCAGTCATCAACGAGAAAAGTTGCTTAGAATAATGTGGAAAAAGAAAATCACCAATATGCAGAGAATGGAAGGGAGCATACAGAAAACTTCTCATGATGGAGCCTTTGTGGGAGTCTATTCCTAACAAGGAAAGACAACCAGTAACAAAAAGGAGAGAATTACTAACTCAATGAAAACAAAAAAAAAAATGAAAGAAAAAGGAAAGGAATTCTAATATACTACATGGCTCATCTCTGAATAGCATTTGTAACTTCTTAATATTGATTAACCAAAATTATATATGATAGGAAAGTGGAAGGAGAAATGTAGGGGCTTGCAGAGAGCAAAGACAGGGAGGTAAAAGTTAACTAAAATCCTTCTCTAATGGGAAGTCAATAGATAATAACTAAAAACTGAAAAATCTAGAAGCAGTAATAAAGTCATGTTATTAAATAGAGACATAAATACCAGAAAAATCAGCTAAAAGAGGTAAATTAATTATCTCTGGAATACGGCAAATGAGAAGGTTGGGGCAGGGAAAAACTAGTTTTTCATAACAAAGTTTGTGGAAGTATTTATATTTACAGTTACAGTTTACTTTAAACTGTTTAGTACATATAACTTTGATTAAAAAGATAGGTGTTTACTCTGAAGTAGTAAGAGTTTACTTCCATTTATATGATGTTTTAAATAAAGCCATGAGGGATCATTGTTGCATAAATTACTGTTTACTGGAAAAATGCCTGTGGTTTTCATCAAAATTGTCTTTTCTAGATTGTGATAAAATATTAGTGATGAAAGAGGGAATTAAGGATGTGTTGCATTTTAGTGCACATGAACAAATATGTAAGATCTCAAGAATTCATTTTTTTATAAAAGATGATTTGTTATTTCATACATTTCTTTAGAAACAAACTATTTTTTAATAAGTGCCACAATGAATTACATTTATTTTTTCACTTATTTTGCCCAAAATGACAGTGCCATCCAAAGTATGGGCTCAGGTTGGTTTAGATCAGTATGCTCAATTGACCACATTCTTTCTTTAAAGGACAAGTATATTCCTTAAATGTTGGTGGAACCACTTATTTTGAACATTAAATAACTTATTTTGGACCTTTACTATATATCTTACTTTTTATATAGTACAAAATTATTTTGTTTCTGTATTGATTAATGAGGAGCATTAATATTTTGTCGTTGTTTCTGTTAAAACTAGTGTTGAACTGAACTGCAAAATGAAATTTGCTGTCTACTTACCACCAAAGGCAGAAACTGAAAAGTGCCCTGCACTGTATTGGCTCTCGGGTAAGTATTATGCATTTGAGTTTTATAGCGTCGTTTCTATTTTCTTTTTAACTGGCTTACCTTACCCTTTTATTTTGACTTGGTAGGCTTTTTGAGCTATTTATGAAAGACTTTAAGGGCCTGTTGTAGTCTACTCTGTTACTTTATCCTCAGAATAATTTCCAACCTACTGAATTACACTTATTTCACTTATTACACTTTTTCCAATAGACCAAGAAATTTAGCAGGTAATGTAAAGTTCTGTACTCAGATAGCAAGGGCTTAGACAACTTATTTACTTAATTTGTACCTACCCAAGCATTTCGGGAGTTTATAGAGACTTTACTAGTCCATTAGAACAGTATTAGGTGAAATCAGGACACCAAGATACTCTAATTAGAAACCAGCTATTGTAAGACGTCAAATAACTTCATACAGTGTTCTCTAAAATATTTTAATTGGACTCCATAGAGCTTCTCTGACAACCTGGAAAGTCACAAAAGAACCCTAAGGCTTCTCTTAATCAGTGTTTCCTATTAAATACTGTAGAATAGATTGTGAAGAGTAAGATTTTGACACCTGCAGTTTTGAAACCTCTATGCTAACTTTTCTTTCACAAAACGTTGGTACTTCATCTTTAGAAGCAAACATTATGAGGAGAGAATCCTAGCAACTACATTGTGTCACAGAGTACTATTTTAATTTTGTTTCCTTCAAATTGGTTCCTGTAACTTTGATTTAACAAATCCTCCCTCATGTGTGTTTCATCAAGGACAAGTCCCAAATACCAGTCTTTGAAAATGATAATAAATATTTCATATTAAAGGGTAAAGATTAAGTACATCTCTGACTTTAACTCAAGAAAACATTTCTGTGATTGAAGAGCACTGATTGCTAGAAGAGCATTAGGTATTGCCAAAAGCAAGAGCAACAAAATTAGTTATTTAATTGTCTTAGAAAACGTAATATTGTATAGCTAACAATGATCTTAGAAATCATGTAATCCCTAGAAAGAAAATGAAGCCCAGAGAAGCTAAATATTGTCCAGGGTCACACAGTAATATGGAGTTGAACGAGTTTTCTGACTCACAGTCCAGAGCTGTATTTAGTTTTTTCTCCTGTTGTTTTTGCATTTTGTTTCTGATGAGGGCTACTATAGTCATATCTCTTGGCTAAATAATAACCAGATCAGAAGCACTGAGGCATTGTGTCATAGGTACTCTAATAATAGGGCTCTAAGTTCTAACTAAAATTGAATCTAGCAAGACATATCTGAGCTTTACAAGTAGAAAATACAGAATTTTTGTTTGTTTGCATCAAATGACAGGACAGTTTCCTTAGTGAGATGCTGAAGATAGACCTTGGAAATTAAGGCTTGATTTTCTGAGTAAAGGTAAGATTGCCTGACCAGTGCACATGAGAAATGGTGACAAAAGAATTTCAGAAAGTTTACTTCCCAGTAAGTCTAAGGAAAACAATGACAGAAAGATTACACAATTATTGTATTGCTAAAATAAAGAAATTAGCTGAAATCAAAACAGCCAAACTGAAATCTTAAAAGATAGTTCGTGTGTAGTGATTTGTATCTTTCTCAAGTGAAGGTGACCATTGAAACAGCCCTTTACTAGCTGTGTACCCAATAGAATTGAAAACATGTCCACACAAAAACTTGCACATGAATGTTCATAGCACACTAAAATAGCCAAAAAGTATAAACAAACCAAATCTCTCTCAACTGGTGAAATGATCAATAAAATCGATGGCTAGTTCATTCCTCACCATTCTCATATCATTGTAGTATTAGATACCTATAGTAAAAGAATTAAGTCATCTCCTCTATCTTATGACTGAAAAGCATAGAGCTAGGAAAAATAACAGAAACTTCTAAAAACTGAGGCTAAAACTCAATTTAAGGATGGCATATGGTCACCATTACTCTCTTTTTAGTTCAGTGAAGAATACAAAGATGATCAAGCTAAATTTTGTTGCTGAGAACTATCTGTATATAAAAAAAAAAATTGTATTATGAGGACCATCATATTTGCTTATTTACTGTGAATATTTATGTTTTGGTGCAGGAATAGTGTGATGTTTAATTAGCATATTTGATAACACTTCACTGGGGTTGTTTTAATATTGGGCATATGCACCATATTGTCAATCTACAGTTTGAAAATTTCTGAATTCCCAAACACTGCTGGTCCAAAGGATTTTAGTAATTGAAACTTTAGTAAGTGGTTTATTTATTTTTTATTTATTTATTTATTTTGAGATGGAGTCTTGCTCTGTTGCCCAGGCTGGAGTGCAATGGCATGATCTCGGCTCACTGCAAGCTCCGCCTCCGGGTTGACTCTATTCTTCTGCCTCAGCTTCCCAAGTAGCTAGGACTACAGGCGTCCGCCACCACACCTGGCTAATTTTTTTGTATTTTTAGTAGAGATGTGGTTTCACTGTGTTAGCCAGGATGGTCTCGATCCCCTGACCTCGTGATCCACCTACCTCAGCCTCCCAAAGTGCTGCGATTACAGGCGTGAGCCACCGTGCCCGGCCAATAAGTGATTTTAAAAGGACAGTTATGGGATCACTTAAGCTAACATAGTTCTTAGGTTAATACTATTACAAATTTTGTAAAAAAGTGAATTTTAGTGTCTTACTCAAAATTATTTCTAAAGCAAAAAAATATTTTTAATGATATCAAGTGAGCTTGTTTTCCTGCATTATAAAAAGTTTAAAGCTTATAAACCATTCACAATATAGCATGAGATAATTTATTTTTAATAATTTCAACTTTTATTTTAGATTAAGGGGGTACACGTGCAGGTTTGATATATGAGCGTATTGCGTGACATGGAGGTTTGCTGAATGATTCCATCACCCAAGTAGTGAACATAGTACTTAATTGGTAGTTTTTCAGCCCTTGTCTGTGTCCCTCTCCCCCTGCTCTAATAGTCCCCAATGCTAATGGTACACATCTTTATGTCCGTGTGTGCCCAATAACAATATTTTTTATCTTCAGGTTTAACTTGCACAGAACAAAATTTTATATCAAAATCTGGTTATCATCAAGCTGCTTCAGAACATGGTCTTGTTGTCATTGCTCCAGATACCAGCCCTCGTAAGTGTTTGTGGTCCAGATATCCTTTATAAAAATCTAAATCTTTAAGAGTGTTATAAGTGGTATGATATATACATTATACAATTTGTTTTATATTTTTGCTGTTATCTCTATTAACCTTTCAAGTGGCATCATGACTCCAAAATACCATGTTATACATTTTCCTCAAGTTTTACTCATGACATGGCTCTTATGAAAGAGGGTAGTTTTGCTACTCCCATTGTACAGATTAAGATACTTCAAAGCAGAGATTAAGCAACTCAATTCATATGTCATACTGGTACTACTGTCAAAATACTAATGTGTAATGCAGAGGAAATTATTTTTCTATTCCAGAGGTATAATGTCTTGTTGCATGATAATTACATCTTTTTTCATCTCTATTAACATCAACCATACAGTTAAACAAGTATTAGTTTTAGTATAAATGATTTGAATATTTACATTAGAGAAATGAAAGTATCAAATATGTGAGAACTCAATGCATCAGACAGTTAAAACTTGTTTTATGACTCTAGAAGTTTCAGGAAATAGAATTTAAATGGCAGTAAAACTAGGGAAGTTATATGGCTGGCCTGGCAAGTACTATATTTCCTTTCACAGGCTATATTATACAAAAACAAGGTGTATCTGGTTAGAAATATAATAATAGATTTAATTCAAAATAGCATCAAAAATATAAAATACCAAGGAATAAACTTGAAAAATAGAAAGATATATAAAAAGGAAACTGTAAAATTTTGTTATCATAAATGAATACTTTAATAAATGGGAAAATGCTGTGTTTCTAGATGGATAAAATGAATCTTAAGACAAGGTCATGTCTTCAAATTACGTGTTACTGTAATTCTATTCAAAATCCCAGTGGTTGATTTTTAACCACATGCAAGTATGTAAAATAAAATGTAACAAGTTAAAAAGAAACATAAGAAAATTCCAGTGGAGGTTGGATAGATAGGGAAATGTGATGGAATGAGTCCATTAACAAAGCGTATTAGAAAACATTTTCAGTTCAAGATAGTGAGTTGAGCACAGGCATCTCCCTCCCCACTCCTTTGTAAAGAGAATTTAAAAAGTGCTGGTAGTGAGAGAGGGTCATCAGGGAAGGGATCACAACACATGTCTGAAAGATAAAAAGAAGATATCAGTCCTTTTGACAGGTAAACCAGAGTAAGGAAGCATATGTTCAAAGTACATAAGAAAGAAACTTCATCAACAAAGAAAGTTAGTTTGCCTTACCTTGGCAGCTGAATACTCCATCTTGGAAGGTCATTTCTTACCTCATTGGCCAGAACGAGTCACATGGCCCCATTCAAGAGCAAGAGGAGCAGGAAGTATAATCCTATCATGTACTCCAAAAGGCAGAGAGCTCACAACATTTGGTGAACAGTTCCCATGCAAATGGACTTGCAGCTTGATCCAAAAGTGTGTTATTAAACATGGGCCATTACTACAGAGCAGATGAAACCACAAGATTGTTTCTTGTAATAGGTGGCTGCAATATTAAAGGAGAAGATGAGAGCTGGGACTTTGGCACTGGTGCTGGATTTTATGTTGATGCTACTGAAGATCTTTGGAAAACCAACTACAGAATGTACTCTTATGTCACGGAGGAGGTAATTTAATTTGTATTGTAATTATTAACTGATGACTGCCAAGAGTTTGATTTTGAACACAGAGTCCTTACAATCCTGAGGATTTTAAACTAGGGTATAAAAGTTATTAGTAAGAATTCCAAAGTTTACTAGTACTATAGTCCTATTTACTGCAATTTAAATTAACAGTAAGTACAATTAAAGGATTTAATCATTATATATTGAGACCTGTTTATACTACCCAGAATAACCAAGAAAATGGTGTATGAAAAAAACCTTTAATTTGCCTGGCAGCCGGTTCATTTGGATGTATTTTATAGTGATAAGCCAAGGCTTAGTTAGAAAACATAAGTGGTAAAGCGTTACTTCTATTAATAATATTTGTATGCTGTTTATGCACTTTCTAAATTTTATATGATCTTCATTGTTAATATGTATACCATAAAAACTTAGAAACAATAATGTAAGTTTTTAATTACCCATAATTCTGTTACGCCCCCAAAACGCTTATGTTTTGATATATTCCAGACTGTTTCTATGACTAGTTTTCACATAATTCTAAACTTTATTTTGTTCTTTTTTTAAGTTATATCTAAAAATATTTTCCAGTGTTCTAATTTTAATAATTGCATAATATTCTGTCATATGCCATAATTTACTTTTTCCTCTTATAGGATATTTATGGTTTTGTATCTATTTTTACCCTAATAAATATGACTGCATTGATTATCTTTGTGAATATCTCCCTAAGGACTTTTCCTGAGAATATATTCCAAAAGGTGAAATTACTAGGTCAAAACTTAAGAACATTTTAAAGGTTCTTTCTGCTTCACCTTCCTAAAGTGTTTTCTAAGAAATCTGTACAATGTATTTCCCAGAGATATATTAGTAACCATGGTCTACCTGAGGATTTAGTTTTATTTTCATTGTTGCTAGTTCAAACCATTGTAAGATTATGATTTGGCAATATTGATTGTGTAATTATTTTATATAACTTTGAAAATGTCTGAACTTATTTTCTTTGATATCTTTTGTCACACTATTATATTTTTTCTAGCTTCCCCAACTCATAAATGCCAGTTTTCCAGTGGATCCCCAAAGGATGTCTGTTTTTGGCCACTCCATGGGAGGCCATGGAGCTCTGATCTGTGCTTTGAAAAATCCTGGAAAATACAAAGTAAGGTTATCTAAACTTCTAGTGATAAATATTTCTCTTGAATATTAGGAACCTTCAAAGAGTAAAATTATAATATTGTTAGTATTGGAACTAAACTTTCTAGTGTTGAGAACTTTGGGGTGTTTGATGGGTGGGTATTTAATTTGACCATAGAGTATAAGCTACAGAATCAGAAGCATAGGAATTCAGCAAGAGTGCCTTCTTTTTGGCCTACTAAAACTATTATAAAATGTAGCTTCTCCTTTAATTGTTTTTATTCCAACTGTAGTTTGGAACACACTTTTTTCCCCTAAAGGTTATTATTACTGATTAATGTTACAGTGGCAGGATCTATCATTTATATTCTTACCAGGAATATCTTTGTAAAGTTGACTTTGATTTTCTGAGGTAAATGATAATGATTTGTAGAAAAATGATATGATTTGTAGAAACTTAAGAATTCTGTTCTTAATGCCTCTAATGAAAATTGAAATGCAGCTTGAGTAAAAAACATCACTCTCAGCCTTTCCCAAAGTCAAATTTGAATTAACTACCATATGTAGTGTGTCATACTGTGCAGAACAGCATGTTACAAGAGTTGAATAAGGAACTGTTAAAGCAACTAGCATCTTAAAATTTCTTCTGCCTTTAAATTTGCAGGGCTATTCATGCCCTTAAGATTGGTTTAATTCATTTCCTCCTCTTAGGAAGAACTTCTTGATTATTTTAGGTGTGCTACTGAGAAATGAAAATATTTCTCATAGCAGTTTCTTGCTGTGGCATCAAATATTTTGTTTTTGGTACGCTTTATTATGAAGTTTTACTAATTCATGGCATGACAGTGGACTTTCTAAGTAAGCATTTTTATTTCCATTTTTAAGGCAGTCTATTTATCATGTCTGAGGTAGAAAAGCAAACTTAGTTGATTTTTTTGTCCTTTAAAAAAGCTAGTAGATACCACTAAACATTTACATTGATGAGTACTCTGAAGTTGAGAGATCCCATCTCTGCATCTCATCCAGTGAAAAAGAACATTGTATAGAACACAGAGGTGTATTAAAAATTCTGTCATATTGAAAGGCATTGCTCACTGCTTTGTTGATACTGTTTAAGAGAAATCATGTGTCAGATTTAGTAACATGTTCACTAAGGTAAGCATGAACTGTTTTATATTACTATAGATTAATTTTCAATGCTAAAAAAGCAGAAACACTGAACATAGACTTCTGTTTGTATCTTAATTAAATTACAATGTATTGTTTTGCATTATTTTAGCAACTGTATTTATTAGCTCTCTTAATAGAATACACAAAAGATGTATTATGGAAAGGCCTGCAATCTAAGCCTGCAATATATCAAAAGGAAAATTGTTCACAGGGTTTTCGTGGCAAGTCAGAATTTTTAAGCAAATTGCAAGTAAATTCTATATTTTTAAGTAAGTTGCAAATATCTATTCATATTTAGTTTAGCAAAATATAACTTGTTTTTAAATTTCTTTTGTTTCTGAAGTCTGTGTCAGCATTTGCTCCAATTTGCAACCCTGTACTCTGTCCCTGGGGCAAAAAAGCCTTTAGTGGATATTTGGGAACAGATCAAAGTAAATGGAAGGTAGGTACTGAATGGCTATCTTAATGCTCATTAAGTTTCAAGTTTGTTTAAAAGGCTGGACATATCACAGACGTTATATTCCTACCCTGCTCAAGTTAGGGCTCTAGAGCTGAGACAACTTAGCAAAAGATATATATATGTGTATATATATGTCAACAAAAAACTCTACTTTCTAATTGTATTGAATCATGGCAGATATTCTGGGGCTACATTTTTTTTCTACTAATGGTTAATTTATATTTTTATTTCTCAATTAACATAACTTCTAAATTAACATAACCAAAAAAATACCACATATTACAGGTTGAGCATCCCTAATCTAAAAATTGTAGCAAAATGCTACAATGAGTATTTCCTTGGAGCATGAGCGTTAAGCATCATGTAGATACTCAAAACGTTTCAGATTTTGGAGCATTTCTGATTTTGGATTTTTGGATTAGGGATGTTCAACCTGTGTTACTAAATTTGGACTTGCCTCTTACTAATTTTATGCTCAGTTGTGTAATAGAAGCAAAGAAGCCTGGCTTTTTAAATTACTTTGTGTATTTTTTTTTCAAAATTCAGCATTTCAGATCTCAATTTTAAATTCCAGACATAAGAGTCTTTAAAAATAGATACTTTGTTATGTCATTTATGTAAATATTCTCACAGCAAGATTACTTTTTCAGGTGTGCAAACAGGTGCTTTCAAGTGGAAATAAAAATGACCCTTTTACCTGAGAACCATTTTACTCTTATGTAGAAATGGGCCATTTACAAATTCCACCAAGAGTTTGAATACTTTGCAAATGAACTCATCATTATGTGCATTGTTAATAAGCAGAAAATACTGGAATGGATAAAAAAATACAACTTGTTTGTCTTAAAGTATTTAAAGTATAGTTCTGTGTTCAGGGTTCATTCCTACATGAACCCTTATTTTATTTAAGGATGATTACTGAAATTCTAACAAATTTTATTTAAGGATGATTACTGAAATTCTAACTAAATAAAGGGTTCATCCTTTAGTAACTAGATTACAGTTTTGTTTAGGCTTGAATTTTTATTACATTTGAAGAATGCTAGAAATGATTTAGGATTAGGTTCTTTGAGAAATGACATTGTATATACATCAGTGTTTTGAGTCTTCGTCAGGTGCAAAGTCTATGCTAGGTTCTGAGCTGTTTTGTCACGAAAATGGTGACCCTTTCACATCTACCAGGGGCTTATGGTCTAACAGAAGAACTGGGTAAAAGACCAACTAACTGGAGGGAGAAGGTGAGAGGTAGAGGTACAGGTGACCTAAAAAGGAATCTAGATAATGTACTTTTCTCCAAGTGACAGTACATTTTACTGTCTTAATTATGTTGTGTTTAAGGTATTATTTAATTTACGATTGAAATCAGGAAACCATGTAGAATTATGAAATCATAGAATTTAGAACAAGTCAGACCCCACTCTTTTAAGATGAAAGGAAATAGAGTCTTCAAAAGCAGGATACTTAGAAGACAAATCTTTTCATGGTCATTTGTCTTGGTCAGTGTATAAAAGTTGTGGTTAATGAATATATATGACTAATTAAGAATATTTCAAGGTGGATGATAAAACATAAAATTGTAACTAGTGGCAGCTCCTCAGATAATAAATTTGAGATGACGTTGATATGATTCAGATTATTCATACCAGGTCTTTCCAAAAGCTTATGTAGATAGCAGAGGTTTGGTGCTGTTCAACAGCAAAAAAGAAGGCTGAATGTATTTATGTCTGGAATTGGAGCCATAAAGAAGAGACATTAAAAAAAAAAAAAGATTATCTGAAATAGAGAATATTTGGAAAAAGATCATGGAGTTAGAAGAAGCTTCTAATTTCCAATTTGTGGAAGGAGTTATGAAGAAAAAAATCATGTTCTTACTGGAGTCAAGAGGAGATTAAGAATATTAAAGGTTTAGAAGGAAAAAAGGCCATTTTGTGAAGAATGCCTGAGATATGGGATTCTTGCCACTAGTCTAGGACTGCTTGAAAGTAGGGAAGAGACTATTATTAGAAAATAGAATTCCAAAGACCTTGTAAATAAAAGCCTGGCAAGTCAGGTTTTGAACCAACTTAAAAGCATATTTCTGATTTAATCGGCCTAAGAGCTTAAATAACTTTAAATTTCTGTTTGATACTAGTATAGTATTTCATGAAGAATATCTTTGAATTTATTTTTCAATGTTACTTCTCTTTTTACAGGCATATGATGCTACCTATCTTGTGAAATCCTATCCAGGATCTCAGCTAGACATACTAATTGATCAAGGAAAAGATGACCAGTTTCTTTTAGATGGACAGTTACTCCCTGATAACTTCATAGCTGCCTGTACAGAAAAGAAAATCCCCGTTGTTTTTCGATTACAAGAGGCAAGTATTAGGAAACTTTAGCTTGATCTAGATAATGTAACTATGAAAAATTAGGATTCTGTGGTATTTTCTTAACTTTATTTTAGAATATAAAATGCTACTTCTAGTAAATTTTTAATTATATTCAGACACTTGAAGTGAAAGCCTGCCTATAAAATTAATTATATCTAACACTAAATTTGATAGAAATAGGAAAGCTTTCTGGCAGTGAAAAATATTGTTTTCCATCAAACCAGTAAATAACAAGATGTTTAATGCTTGAATGATGATTAATCTTCAACATTAGCACATACATCTTTCTTTACACAGATACCTTTGCTGCAGTAGTAGTAAAGGACAAACATCTACCCCTATTACTCCTTATTTTAGTCTACATTACTACATATTTTAGTCTCAGAAGTTAAGTATTATTTATCACACTTTGTGCTTTATATTATTTGACTTGCATACTAATCTATACGTTGTGCTACTTGATATTTCTAGTTGTTTAAGAATAATTGCTGAATCCCAATGGGCTTGCAAGTTTTTTTTAACTAAAATATTTTTGATCGTCCACTACTCACCTAATTCTATATTTGCTACTATAGTCCTAATTAAGGAAATTCTGCTTTTATTTTTAAGAAAAATTCATAAGCTTCAGAATATAATTTAAAATATTTTAGAGTGAAAAATGAGCACTGAAAATTATACATGATCATGATTTTTAAATAAAATTTTATCCATGTTTAAGGATAATGTGTCAGGCACATTGATCTAAAATATAATTATGATGGTAAATGTTCAAATAAATCTAGATCACTGTGTAATGTGGTACATTACAGTTTGTAAAATGCTTTCACAGCATTAACTCATTGTTAATTCTTACACCACCAAATGAGATATCATTTCTTTCCTGTCCATATGTTTTACAAATGAGGAGACAGGCCCAGAGAAGTAACCTGCTTATCTAAAGTCACATAGCTAGTAAAGTGGTGGAACCAGGACTGGAACTAAGGCTATTTGACTGCAAATACTGTCCTCCTGTCATTTGTCAAGCCATTTTCAGGCAGCATGATGTGCTCCTGAGGAGCAAAGGAATGGAATTAGAGCTGGCACAAGGAGAAATTGTGCATCTGAGCAGTCTTCCTGTTTACAGAGATATTTTGCACATGTGAAATAAATAAATATATATATATATATAGTGTCAGAAAATGTCAAAACCTAATACATTATATATACTTTGTTGTCTCTTAGTGTCCATCCTTGAGTAATAGAACTTTGTTTCAGATTTATTTGAACATTTACCATCACAATTACATTTTAGGTCAACAAACAGCCTTGAGAAATCCAAATACGAATTTCACTATAAATACAGTAATACGTTTAACTGCAGTAACTATAGCTCTAAGTGCATACCAAACCATGTTTTTTCCAAATGACCTTAATTTCTTGGCAGTACCCGTGTTGGATACCTAATTTGCTTCCCCAAAGACTGTGCCCAAAATTTCTGTTGTTTCTACAATGTTTCTGCCTGCCAACAAAGTCTGAAAATCTCTCAAGTTTGTTATAAAAACAGCAGAGTTAGAACATGATGACATTCTTGGAGGGAAAAATAAGTCAACTTATTTGTTTCTAAAATGCCTGTATCCCAAGCAACTAGAACACATAGTTGGCTATACTTAATGAGTAGTTAAGACGAACCATTCAATTCTTCTAAAAAGTAAGAAAGTATTCAAAGCACCAGAGTCACAATCTTGAATTCAGGTGCAGTTTGCTATTCACTTTACTTCCAGCATGATCAGGTTAAGAGTGAACTACACAGCTTAAAGCAGATTTCCTTTAGATTCGTTGTAATTGAATCAACAACTGAATGAAAATGCCTAAGTAGTGGCTCCAAAGAGTCTACTTTCAGATTTTCTCACCAGCTTTGACCCAAGATTACCTTGGGTCCGAGAGTTTTGTCACCTACTTTATCATTTGATTACAAGTATTGTATAACTGTATTTTCTTGTGGGATAGAAGCTGTGAAAAATAAGCTGAAAATAATAGGGGATATATATGAATAAATGATCTGAGAAGAAAGAAAGTAATTACAATCATGCACATGATTTACCCAATTTCATTCCTTTACCTCTTTTTAATGGTGTTAAATGCTCACAAATTACATTTATACTCTGTCGAATGTCAAAAAAAAATTTTAGAGGGAGGGGTTAGTGCATTGGGGATGCTCTTTGGTTATTATTATTGGGGATACTTATTTGGGGATAACTTATTTGGTTGTTGGAATTATTTCTCTGGTTCTATTCCTTTGCTCCTCAGGAGCACATCATGCTGCCTGAAAATGACTTGATAAATGACAGCAGGACAGTATTTGCAGTCAAATAGCCTTAGTTCCAGTCCTGGTTCCACACTTGCTAGCTATGTGACCATAGATACTTATTTGGCTGTTTATATAATTTTTTCTTTTTCGATTTTGGCTTCAGGCAATCTAAATTTAAAAAAAATACTAGATAACAGAATTCTGATATCTAGTGTACAAAGATCAAATCTTAGTCTGAAAAAGAAGGGCCTAGTATGTCTTATCTTTAGTTACTGGAGTTACACTATGAAGAAGTTTCCAGAAACAGTATTCTCTTTTTGTGAAATAGGAGAGGCTATAGTACCTCCTTAAGGCTCAGGACCTTTTTGAAGATTGAGAGGCTGTTTTAGCCTCTGCATCGGCCTGTTGGAGAAGAGTAAGAACATGGCAGAGAATCCCAGAAATGTAGAGATCTCTCATTCATCTCTGTATCCAATGCTTATTTAGCATAGTTATCTAGCACAGAGACTCTCAATACTTGTTAAATGAATACAGTGCAAAGTCTTCCTCCTTATACACTGAAGAGATTTAATAACCTGGGGATTCTTATCCAAGCTTTTCTAATTGGGTCTGGAAAATATATAAGAAAACACTGCCTGTTAGGATAAACATCCATCATAGCTGCTGGAGCAGTGCTTCCTTTTTGAGAGTTGAGTGAAGAATGAAAGAATGAAATGTGTTCATTTATTTTTATACTCCAGGAGTCAGAGTTTTGCTACCAAGGATTTTCCATTTAAAGTGTGAGGTAGAGGAGAAAAGGCCCCTTCAAGTGTCACTAAACATAGGCATTTGCACAAGCTGCTTAACATATCATACCAACTCATTCGTCAAAGAATTTAATTAAAGAAGCCATCCCCATTTAATAAGACTGATAAACAGAATCCCTAGTCAGGGATGATACAGTTAGCTCAAATTGTATAACTTCAGCAGGATACCAATAGTTCAAATGTGTTCTATTGCCTTTTTGTTGATATTTTTTAAAATTCTTGAGCCCTCAATGGCAGGCATCTTCTTCTTTCTCATATAGGTGAATCTTTATCATTATGGAGCTTATGGTCATTTGTTTTGGATTTTAGATGTCTTGTCTTGCAATATATTCCTGGGTTTACCTTGGGACTTCTCTAATAATAATGATGGCTATTCATATGTGTCTGATGGCTCTTAACACACAAGAAACTAAGGATAAAAATATGGCATACTCAGTCACATTGGAACTTGGTCACACATGTCTTATGTCTTTTGAGGTATCTGTTTCCCTGCATCTGTACCCATTTTCTATCAGATCCATCTTTTGATCTGTGAAAAATGGCAGATAATACTTCGTACATTTTACAGGTTTTGTGACCTAAAACTCCAGGCCTGTTTAACTTCTTAACAATTCAAGAATTATATGGATGGAAAATGCTTTTCTTTACATTTCTTTTTTATATAGGAAACTGTAATTTAGCTCTAAATTTAACTAGCCAGCTGAGACTAGTCTAATCATTGAGAGACATGACACCAAGTAATTACGAGGCTCAGCTTTAATTTTGACAACATTCCTGTCACATTTACTTCCATGATAGAAGACAGATTGCTTTAGAAGACTTAAGTTACCTTGATCTTAAACTAGAACTTTTTATTAACTGCTGTTCCCAAGATAAACATTTAATACCTCTCTGGAAGGGAGAGATTGAGAACATTTACTGATTCATCAAAACCTTGAGGATTTGCCTTGTTCTCTGAAGCATCAGTGATATTTTCATTAGCTCTATTTTTATTTCTTAGGTGCTTAGAAAAATTCCCATTTTTTCCCATCAGTGACCATTCACTAGTTCAAAACTGGGGAAAAAAAAATCTTTGTTAGACTTTCATTTCTTTCAGTATATTCAACCTTGTATTTTAATTGTAGATAGAGATAAATTATCTGGTGTTTGATACCCTTAGAAAGTTCTTCCCACCTGGAGTGTAAATTAGTTTAACCATTGTAGAAGATAGTGTGGTGATTCCTCAGACCTGGAGGCAGAAATGCCATTTGACCCAGCAATCCTATTACTAGGAATCTACCCAAAGGAATATAAATCATTCTGTTATAAAGATACATGCACACATATGTTCACTGCAGTACTATTCAATACTATTCGATAGCAAAGACATGGAATCAACCCAAACACCCATCAACGATAGACTGGATAAAGAAAATGTGGTACATATACACCATGGAATACTATGCGGCCATAAAAAGGAATGAGATCATGTCCTTTGCAGGGACATGGATGGAGTTGGAAGCCATTATCCTCAACAAACTAATGCAGGAATAGAAAACCAAATACCAGGCCGGGCGTGGTGGCTCACGCCTATAATCCCAGCACTTTGGGAGGCTGAGGTAGGCGGATCACGGGATCAGAAGATCGCGACCATCCTGGCTAAGATGGTGAAACCCCGTCTCTACTAAAAATACAAAAAAAAATTAGCTGGGCATGGTGGCATACACCTGTAGTCCCAGCTACTCAGGAGGCTGAGGCAGCAGAATCATTTAAACCCGGGATGTGGAGGTTGCAGTGAGCCAAGATCATGCACTCCAGCAAGACTCCATCTCAAAAAAAAAAAAAAAAAACACACACACTAGATGCCCTCACTTATAAGCGGGAGCTGAATGATGAGAACACATGGATATATGGAGGGCAACAACACACACTGGGGCCTGCCAAAGGGCGGTGGGAGTTGGGGAGAGCATCAGGAAGAATAGCTAATAGATGCTCAGCTTAATACCTAGGTGATGGCTTGATCTGAGCAGCAAACCACCATGGCACACATTTACTTATGTAACTGCATATCCAGCACATGTACCCCTGAACTTAAAAGTTGAACAACAGCAACAAAAAAAAAGTGAAAATTCTTACCACCTTAATACTTTATTATTTTTTTTTTTTGGAAGACTATTTTTTATCTTATACTCAGAAGAGGTGTCAGAGTCACCAGAAAGGGATTATGTCTCCATTTACCTACAACAATGGTTTTAAATGACTGGATAGATAGAAATCTCTTTCAACTTAACTGCTTAGCACATTACATTTTTCTCAGTTTCATGTAGTTTTCTAAAGGTTTACTGACTTTTTACCTAATTTGATATATTGCTAAGGGATGTCAGCACTTAATGAATTATTCCTTTCTCCTCAAATAAAGATATGACATGTGTTTACTGTGTAGGAGGAATTCTTAACATGATTTATGATGACTGATGTTTGACTTCCCAACAATGATAGAACATTTGGGCATTTTTGTGTTCTTTTTCTATATTGTTTGTGTACTTATTTTGTATTTTAATAGTCACTGACTTATTGATGTGCTGCATTTGTGAATTGAAATGTCTTGCCCATGTTTCTAAGGTCTCTAAATCCTGATTCTTTTCATCTTGGTTGATATGATAGTGTCTACTCTACATATTTAATGTACTCTACAGTGTTGATATGACATGTCTACTCTGCATATTTAATTAATGTGTTACTTCCGCTCTTTATTAATGTGTTACTTCCTCTCTAAATGCTGCCATTTATTAATGGCAGCATTTAGAAGTTAGGCTATGTTTAGAAGCTAGGCAGAGTGTTTAGTTTTCCTTCATATTTTTGCTGCTCTTTTAATGTACAGTGAAAATGTTAAAGTACAAATATGATAACCTTGATTTAATTTTAAACCTTCCTCATACTTCCTTAATGTTATGACTATTTGTAAGCAAATTAAATGATCTTAGAGATATATTTAATGTTCCTAATATTGATGTTTCTGAATGGTAGATAAATGTCTTATCATCTCTTTGTCTTCTAGGGTTATGATCATAGCTACTACTTCATTGCAACCTTTATTACTGACCACATCAGACATCATGCTAAATACCTGAATGCATAAAAAACTCCAAATAAGAGAATCTCTTCAGGATTATAAAAGCAAAATGCAACTGTATTGCTGAGCAAAAAAAAAAAAAAAAAAGTTCAAAATCATTGCATTTTGTAATGCTAAAAGGGCTTTATTCTATAGTTGAATCTCCTCTGAATAAAGATATAAAACCTACTTCTGATGTTAAAAGTTATTTTATAAGTGTTCACATAGGAAATCTTTAATGCTCTATAGCTTTGTCAGTGTCGTTTGGAAATTCTTGTATTAATCCCAGGTCATAGAATATGAACGTAATCCTATTTGAAGTACAGAATAGTAACTCCAGAACAGAAAGACTTAAAAGTAATTTAGCCCGGCCGGGCGCGGTGGCTCACGCCTGTAATTCCAGCACTTTGGGAGGCCAAGGCAGGCGGATCGTGAGGTCAGGAAATTGAGACCATCCTGGTGAACACGGTGAAACCCTGTCTCTACTAAAAATACAAAAAAAAATTAGGCATGGTTGCGGGCACCTGTAGTCCCGGCTACTCGGGAGGCTGAGGCAGGAGAATGGTGTGAACCCGGGAGGCGGAGCTTGCAGTGAGCCGAGATGGTGCCACCGCACTCCAGCCTGGGCGACAGAGTGAGACTCCGTCTCAAAAAAAAAAAAAAAAAGTAATTTAGCCCAGACTCCTCACCTTTCCAGACTTTAAGCCTCTGAAAACATGGACTGTCTTTGTCATGTTCATTGTTGCATCTCTAGTGTCTAGCAAGTGCTTGATTTCTAGTGGGTATTTCATAACTGTTAGCTACAGAATAAGGAGGTAGGCTCAGAAAGGTTAAATGAATTCCCCATCATTACACAGCTATTTGTGGGATATTAGAAGACAGATTATCTTTTCTTACCTATTGAGCCTAATATATTTGTGAACATTGGTTTTTGGGTGTATTGAGGCTCTCAAGAATTAAATAAGATTCAATCTGAAACTGGCTAAACAAGGAAACATTAATTTCATGTTACTGTAAACATGAATATTTTCCCGTAGTCGCAAGCGGAGATTTAACTTGGTGAGCTCACCAAGAAAAGTAATGTCTCTGTAAATACCAAATTGTTTTTCTTTAAGAACTTATTAGACAAACTTTTTGAAGTGTGATAAAAGCCAGTAAAACATGATAGAAGCCAGTAAAGCCTGGTTGCTTTAAAAATATATATTTTTTTCTGTTAAAAAATAAATTTTAAACATTCAATAGGAATGCATATTATGGTAATTGAAGAAAATGACATTAGGTTCTTAAAGTTATAAAATTAGTATTATTTAAATATCAGTAGTCAAGGCTGAGCCCTAGAGTGAGCTATACACAAAATGATTGTCATCTAAACAGTCTTGTGTCTTCTAATAAGGAAGATCATTCATAAACGTTTTACATGCCGGTGATTTATTTGTGAAGAAAAACAATTGTATTGTCCCTAAGATCATTTGAAATTGAGGTTTACACCAGAGAAACAAAACTAGTAGGAAATATATACATTATGATTTAAAAAAAAAAAAAATGAGGAATCGGCATACCTGATTATGAGGGCTGGCTAAGCAAGTCCAAAATCCATAGAGCAGCAGTCAGGAAGGGACAGGCAGAAGCAGGATGGACTCTGCACATGGTCTCAAGCTGTTGTCCATAGGAGGAATTTCTTCTCTCCTGGTGAGGCCTCAGTCTTGCTTTTAAGGCCTTCGGATTAAGTGAGGTCCATTGGATTGTCTCTTCCTCTTTAAAGTCAGTTGATTAGGGACTTCAATTTTATCTGCAAAATTCCTTCATAGCAACACCTAGATTAGTATTTGAATAACAGGAGACCGTAACTTGGCTAAGTTAGTTTATCATTGTAAGAAAATAGTTGCTTTGCTTTTTTGCATGGTAAATGCAAAACATTTAAATATTCATTAAGTAATTGCTGACGAAATAGCTAATGTTGGTAAAGAGAAAGACCTTTAGTTAAAACACAGAAATGACTGTTGAGGATAATAAACCAATACATTTGAGCTTGCTTTTTTGTGCTGCAAATGCTGGCCTGGGGAGGGATGAGTCCTTATCAATGCCTAAATGTAACATAAGTTTCCCCAATTAGAAAGAGTTCAATCTCAATGTCTCTTACATTGTAAGGTTGCATCTCAGTGACCTAATTAATAATAAATAACCTAAACATTAACTCCCAATGCTTGTTTAGGGTGTTTCTAGAAGTCACCTGACAATCAGGTATAAAAGGAGGTAAAGGAATCTGACATTTCCTGGGTTACGTTCAATGTAACACCCTTGTGAAGATTATGTTCTTGAAGAAACGTAATACTGTAAAACTACCACCATCAAGAGTGAAAGGACAAGCCACAAAGTAGATACAGATGCTTGCAATACATATATCTGACAAATAACTTGTATCTAGAATGCATGAAGAACTCTCACAAATTCTTAAAAACACAAAATTTGGCAAAAAAAAATTTTGTACTTAACAAAATAGGACAAATATGGCTAATGAATGCATGAAACTGTGCTTAATAAGACTGAGAAAATATGAATAAAAACTACAATGAAATGAAACTACACACCTACCTGAATGGCTAAAGTTCAGACAATGGAAAATCCCACAAGTTGATAAGGATACATGGCGACCTGAATTATACCGCTAATAAGGTGCACACTGGCAGGGTCCGCTAAAGTCTAGTTCAACCTTAGCAAACTGCTAAGGTCTGGTGAGGCTTCAGACCCTACTTAGCACGTCTCCTATAACCTTTAAATGCATGTTTCTGTACTTAACAGGAACATTATGATTATATGAGAATATTTAGAGCAACACCATTCATGATAGCCAAAATCTAGAAATAACCTGAATGTCCATCTATAACAGAATTAGTACAATTGGAGCATATTCATACGATGGAATATTCTACATGAATAAAATGAACACTATAACTGGATGCAGCAACATGGATGGGGTCTCAGCCATAATCTGAAGCGAAAGAATCCTGACACCAAATTATTTGCTATATAAATAACTTGGTGCCATTTTATATCAGATTCTAGGCCAGGCAAAATTGATTCATATTGAAGTCAGGAGGTGTTACACATAGCAAGGCAATGGAGGGGGCTGGGGGAGGGCATTCTGAGGGAGAGGCAATTGGAGCATGGCAGGAGAGAGTACTAGTGATGCTATCTTTCTTCATCCAGTTGCTTGCTACGTGAGCATGTTCACTGAAAATTCATCAGGCCATGCATGTAAGATTTATAAACTTTTTAATATGTGTTATAGTTCAATAAAGTTTACATGAAAAGTATATTAAGTAGTTACGCTGTGAAGATCATAAATATACTACTGCATGAAGAATGTAAAAACCCTGATGTTATTACAAACAATACTTATCTTGGGGAATACAATTTCCAGTGGCTGCATCATTTATCAATTCAAATAATATTGTATCTCAAACCACTTACAAGTGAAGGTGATGTGAAAAGTTGCTGCAAAAAGTGGCTGTAGGCTGGGCACGGTGGCTCACATCTGTTACCCAGTACTTTGGCAGGCCGAGGTGGGTGGATCACTTGAGGTCAGGAGTTCAAGACCCGCATGGCCATCATGGCAAAACCCCATCTCTACTAAAAATACAAAAATTAGCCGGGTGTGGTGGCAGGCACCTGTAATCCCAGCTACTCGGGAGACTGAGGCAGGAGAATCGTCTGAACCCGGGAGGCAGATGTTGCAGTGAGCCGGGATCGCACCACTGCACTCCAGCCTGGGCAACGAAGTGAAACTCTATCCCCCTCCCTCTGCCAAAAAAATGGCTGTAGTGATGTTACTGATATTAACGATGCAAATGAGTTAAGATAAAACCATGTCATAAAATCTTACAACAGAATATTTAATATTTCCAAGCTGACATCTCTCAAATATTTCTAAAGTATACATATAAAAACTGTGACAAGTAGGCATGAATTATATATTTTAAAATGCATAAATGTATTCGAATTAGCCAAACTTTTGGATGTTATCATTAGAAAAATGCAGATCCAGACCAGGTGCTGTGGCTCACACCTGTAATCCCAGCACTTTGGGAGGCCGAGGTAGGCAGATCACAAGGTCAGGAGTCCGAGACCAGCCTGGCCAACATGGTGAAACCCCATCTCTACTAAAAATACAAAAATTAGCCTGGCATGGTGGCAGGAGCCTGTAATCCCAACTACTCGGGAGGCTGAGGCAGAAGAATCGCTTGAACCCAGGAGGCAGAGGTTGCAGTTAGCTGAGATCGTGCCACTGCACTCCAACCTGGGCGACAGAGCGAGACTCCATCTCAAAAAAAAAAAAAAAGAAAGAAAGAAAAGAAATGAAAAAAGAAAAAGAAAAATGCAGATCCTCTCACGTTCAAGGTTGTCTTGTATTTAGGCTCACTGGGTATATATAGTATGTAACAGATTACATTGTTTTATCAACCTTCTGAAATGAAAGCTACTTTAAAATTAAAACAGCCAGATTTTTTTTTAAAAAGCTTTCATTTTTGAAGCCTAGTCTCCAATAATCTGAAGAATTGGGGGTTCAGATGAAGAAATGAAATGTCACTGTTGGTGTTCCAGTGACGGAGATGGCAACAGCAGTAGCTAAGAAGACATTGGCAGAGGTTGCCGGGGGGAGGGGAGGGGGCAAGTAAAGATGCAGCAATGGCCACAGCAGCACAGGGGACCATGACATAAGAAGCATCTACTACAGTCGAGATGGAGGACGAAGTCTTAGAACCAGTAAGAGTTTCGTAAAGTGGCTAGAAACAATATAAATATCTCAAAATTAGTAATTTTTCTATAAGTCTATGTTTAACAAAAATTATTTTAAAATGATCCTATTCACAGCAGCAACAAAAAACTACCTAGAAAGAACTAAAACGAGAATTGTATAAGACCTCTAGTAAATAAAGCAAGTCTTAAACAAATGGACAGCAGTATCATACTCATGGAAGAAAACTCTCAATATTGTAAGGCTACAAACGTACCCCAGATTAATCTACAAATGCGATATAATCTTAATCAAAATCTCAAAGTTGTTCATGGAACTTGACAAGCTAATTATAAAATTTATATGGAAGAATATGCCAAGACAGCTTGAGAGAGAACAAATTGCTCTGCCAGTTGTCAAGACAGATTATAAGGCTGTGATTATTAAAACGGGT